AACCGAGTCGACTGTGGCGTTGGTTGACTGGATCGGTTATGGCAGGCTCACAGAGCCAGAAAAGCTGGTGGCAGTGTCTAGAGTTGAGCAGCTCTGCGAGCTACTTAAATTCGAGAACAAACTCCAAAAGCTCGGGATTCTGCCAGGACTGGGGTTTCTAGATGACGTCGTCCGGAAGAGATACGGTCTCCTACTGAGGCTCCCGAAATCTATTTCGGGCTCCGAGATCAGCTCAGTCTCCTTAGATCAAGTGCTCGACATGGCCACGACGAAGGGGAAGGAGAGGCCAGTTCAGTCATATAAACCGAGCTTGCCAGAGCGCTTTCAGTTGGCACGACGCCTAGCCCAGACCTTTCTCGAGCTCCACAAGGTTCGGTGGTTTCATAAAGGGTTTGATAGCAGGAAAGTCATATTCTTTTGCTCGAATCAGACTACCGGCGACCCTCCAGTTATCATGTTCGGGGATCCCTTCGTGATTGGGTTTGAATTCTCGCGCCCATCTGGGAAAGAGAACATATCTCTACCTCTCGTTTCAACTCCCGGCTTCGAGGTTTACTCACACCCCGACCCCCGCACGGGCGACCCATCGGCCAACCCTTCCAGCAACGCGCATCCACCTACAGCCGCCTCGCCACGATTCAAGGCAGCATACGACATCTTCAGCTTGAGCTCTGTATTGCTAGAGATTGGTCTTTGGACCCCTCTCAAATACATCCTTCCTCGCTACGAAAACAACCCAAGGGATACTCAAAGGCTGTTGCAAGGAGTCGCCAAGCAGAATCTGGGACACACTATGGGGTCCAAGTATCGGGACGCTGTCCTCCTGGGACTCCGGTGGGTTGAGGATTCGGGGCCGAAGAATGGCTACAGAGCCGGAGCTGATGAGGGCGAAGTCGCAATGGTGGATGCCCAGAGAATGTTTTTCGATATCATGCGTCCGCTCGAAGAATGTGCGTGCGGCGCCTACAGTTGACTAGGTGCAATAGGTCGGCGGAGGCGTTCAGTCGGATTTGTGCGAGAGATATTGTGGCCATTTTTCAGCTGCGTGAAAACGGCACCGTTTCGATCCGTGTCTAGAACTGCTATTTCAAGCAAGTTTCATTGTTATTGTTCGGTTTAGGTCTCACAGAACCAGCGAGCTGCTTCCTCTTGTGACACAAAAACCTAAGGTGTAAGTTAAATACGATCGTGATAACCTACATCGCTTAACGCCAGGCGGTTCAGAAGGAAGTCGTCCACTCTTACGAACACACAAAACACATCCTGACGTCCGCTGAAGACATGAAAAAGAAAAAAATGAAACACTCAAAGAACAAAAAAGAGAGACATACAACACCAGGGATTCGCTGGTCGTCACCGACCCAACTACTAGTCTGGCGCTTCGCAGCTTGTGTACAGGGGAGCGGACGGGACCCTCAATTGTCTGCGAGCTATGGTCGTATGTGCTAGACGGCCGTTCTAGATTGGGTTATAATAGATCCTTTGCTGCGTGTTGTTTCTGTGTTCATGTGTGGAAGTGGCATGACGTCATTGAAGCCAATGATCTTTGCCCCTCCGCCGTTCAACAAGGTCAATTCCTTTCAGTCGGCACTCGTCTCCCTCTGCCCACGACAGAGATGAACGCATTCTTCTCAGACAAGTCGACAACGCAGGCGCAGTGCGACCAGTTCGCTGAAACGCATTTTAGTGGCCCTGTGGAGCCCCTTATTCTCCAGGGCGCCTTCAGCTACACTGTGACAGCTGGCGAGGGTAAGGTTATCGTGCAGTTCCGATAAGGGGGCTCGCCACTGCCGGATCCGGACTCGCAACTGTTTGGAGCGTTTGCTGGCGAGCATCCGGGGGTTGTTGCGCTTCACCAATAAGTTTTTTAATAGTATAGCTTATTATAATAAGTAATTATTTAATTTATTTTTGATAAGTATCTTTTAAACTAATATAAAATTAGTTTATAAAAAACTAGAGTTAGTAAAAAGGAAGATTAAAAGCATATATTTCTTCTAAGTTCTAATTAAAGATGAAGGTAGTAAGTAGTATTCTACTTGTTCGAGGCTGAAATTAGAGTTGATGTTTGGTAGAAACGTGAGGGGAAGCAGGCTCGGGACGGCACGAACCGACCGATGCGGGTGTCGGCGGGTAGAAGAGGAAAGCAAGGGCAGCGCCACATAGTGGGAGTGGCTTACGTGCCCCGTATGGGCTGATAGCTCGCAGACCAGGCTGGACGGCTTACAAGACTGGGAACGTGGTCAGATTTCGATCTTGAGTCGAAGCATATACTGATTATGTGCAGTCTCGACTAGACTCTTGTGCAATCTTCCACCAGCCCAAAAATCCAACGTCCATGACCAAGGCATAATTCATATTCATTTTCCGACGCGCCTCCCCTGCCCATTACGGCTCTCGCAAAATGTTTGTTATAGATATTGAATCCATCTCGGTACCGTTGCGCAGAAGTTGTCGGAGAGCGTAATCATGTTCCTGGATGATTCTTAGCTAAAAGGCCATCTTTTCGCAATGAGGCGGGAAATGGCAGATCCTGCAGCACAAACATACAATACCACGCCACAAACATCGTAGTCGAATGCGGAATCATAGTAGCATAACTCGGGAGGTAGTTTGCATACGTCGAAAACAATATCCTCGTCCTTTCTCCTCCTTCTTAGCGGAACAAGAGCTCCATCTATTATCCTAGGAGTAATTGGCTTCTAGTGGGGGGGGATGTTATCTCGATCTGGTCCTTTATGGCCCAGCAGCCTGTTAAGCTGTTCCGCAACAGGCCGACGGGTACGGAGTCTCTCGAAATCCTTCGAAATCCAAGTTAGAAGTGGGACAGCGCTGTCCTTAGCACAACACTTAGTATCCACCAAATCGCGCCAGGGATGATGCACTCCTCCAGTTCACCAAGAAGCTGCCGGGCTGCCTTGGACGGCGTTGGTACGGCGCATATTACCGAGCTTGCCCAGGACGGCACAGACCTCTTTATCCTCTTGGACCTTGGGGTCTTGCTTTGACATGGAGATGGGCGCCCTGCGCGCTGCACATCATGTCGTAATTCAGTGGTATGCATTTTTATCGAGGGAGAGCGGATTAGGTGGCTAGCGAAGACCGACATCGAGGTAAAGTACTCAGCTCTTTCGGAAGGAGGAAGTCGAACGCGTTGCGCGACGATCGACCACGCGAATAATGTCAGGCTGCGAAGGAATAAGTACATATACTTCGTACCTGGCTACGTATGGAGATGCCACTAGCTGCTTGCAGAACCTGCAGGGCCGGCGCATGGTATTCTCTGCGTCCTGTACGGGGCTTGGCTTCGACAATCCCGCGAGTCCAAGTCCTTTGTCTGAACACTACTTCGTTTTCAAAAAAAAAAAAAAAAAAAAAAAAAAAAAAAAAGGTGCTTGATTCATGATGGATACGACCGGAGGTAAAGGCGTGGGCACGCGCGGGTGAGCGGAATAGAGCTGAATCCCTTCCGCCTTCATGATGATCGGACCGGCCCATGCCGTAGACTTACCGAGACAGGATTAGTGGCGCCAGTACGACGTAGAGTACCTGACAAGGGGCGGCCCATCGGACCCGCAAGAACCACTCGTGGATCCGTGATCCACTAAAATTCTTCACGATTTGATTCCCACGTGCGGAGGAGTGCAAGCCCAGACACTAGCGCCCGCTCCTTCCACTCCTGCAGTGGGTTAGTGATATTACAGAGTTGCAGAAGGAAGGAGCGTCCCAATCATCCAATGTCTTGTCCAGAAAACGAAATGTGCTCCTCTGCCAAGGTTTGTTTCGGGACTAGATATCATTGAGGGGTAATCGTAATGACCGCAAGGGGGAGTCTAGGGTAGCTCCGCACCTGGTCGTTGCTGCGCTGGGCTCTAGTGTCTAGCGGACAGATCGGGCGGAAGTACCCTCCTAAAGCTGTTTTCTGGTGCCATTTGTCAATATACAGTACGACCAGGTCGCCTTGGGCGTAATCCTTCAATTGTATCTGCATTGCTCGGTGGAGCCATAGAGAGTCGATGCGGCCGCCTGTGCATGAGGCTGCTACTATTATGTGGGGGTTTATATTGATGGCTCTGTCAGGCCAGCTGTCTTGGCAGTGGAAGTGGCATGTGCGCTACAGCGTCACCCACCGCAGAAGGGTGCTTTTGATATCTAGTTTCTTGGTCCGTGATGCGGGCTGCGGGCTGCGAGTTCGCTCTGCGCTGCCCCGTCCTCTAGCGATGTGCCGAGTGGGTTACAATTTCGGAAGAGGACCCTGATCAGTAATTACGCCTAAAGAGGCAGCCCCCGGTCAGTCTGTCTCCTCGAACCCCGCAATCGCTGTGTCGGAGATCGGTGGTCTTAGGTCGCCGTAACTCCGAGTATTGTTCCGTGGCCCCCGTAACCCCGTCATTGTGACACCGCGGCCCCGATCCCTGTCACTCATGGGGCAACTCTGGCACGACGCGGCATAGCCGTGTCGGCGTCATCGGATGTTTGTCGATAAAAACGAGGCCATGCACACACGTCCACATGCAATGGCCGGCTAGTTAGTAAAGCTACCTAAATAAGTACTTTAGCCCTTAGAAAGGAGATTAAGAATAGATCCATACAGGAACCTTGCTGGGCAGTCATAGATATGATATCATTGATCTCAGCATCAGATCTACTGAGTCAAGTCTAAGGGACGAAAAAAGGGGCTAGGCATATAGGGCTGTGTGTCAAAAGTGACCTAAAAGAGGAGAACCCACAAAGAGACCAAAAGCGCGAGTACCTGTTTTCTGCAAAAGGCAGAGCTTGGGCGCAAAGCAGTTTTAAGGGATTGGAGTTTCAGGATTCGCGAGGGATGGCATAAACTGTGCAAGTTGAAAAGGAACATAATGCACGAAGGATAATTGTAAATTAACCGCCTAGAAGCAAGCGTCTCGCATAGATTCAGGTAAACATATCCAACCCGTGCCTGTGATTGCCAGAAAAAAAAAAAAAAAAAACTTGCTCTGTGCAATGTATAACTACGTTACTCAGACTCCGACGCAGATGGCATAATCCAGCCACAGGCCCTCACAGTTAGCCCCGAGAGCGGGGTTCCAAAGCAGCAAGGTGGCGTAGTCGGGAATACCATAAAGCTGCTGGATATCCCAGCACCCTTCCCCCGCAACAACCAAGTGCCACGCCTGGCACGTCTCGATCGTGCCCGGCTGCGTCGGCCCTGGCGGTGTGCCCGGCCCCGAGGACGAGGGGCCCTCAACACAGTAGGCGTAGTCGGGCCAGAGGCCGGAGCAATCCCCATTAAGCGCCGGGTTCCAGGCATACAAGTCTTCGAGCGAGATGCCGTGGTTGTTAGCAATGTCCCAGCAACCATCACCGGCGACGGCGAGGTAGTACGCCCGACAACCATCAACAATGCCCGGCTGCGTCGGACCGGGAGGAGTGACGGGGTCCGTCCCGGGCGAGCCGCCTACTCCGTTGATGCAGAGCGGGCGCTCGTCTGTGGCCGCGAGACCGGCATAGAGGCCAGCATCACAGTCGGCTTCGCTACTGCCGATCCACGAGTTCCAGTTGAGCAGGTCGCTCACGGTGAAGTTCTTGCTGTGGACAATATCCTCGCAGAGATATTTGCCAGCGTCGAACCCGTTAAGGAGAGTAAAGCAGGAGCAGGTATCAATCGTGCCGGGCTCTGGCGTTGTTGTGATTTCGAGGCACTCGCCCCCGGAAGTATCTCTCTCTTCGCTTCGTGTTAGCAATCGGTTACTTATTAGGTAGGTATTACGACGTGATGAAGAAAATAAATCTCACCCGTAGCGTTGCTGTGCGCCACGCAATACCGGTAGCCCGTCTGCAGCTGACAAGGGTCCAATCCCTCGAGACTCGGGTTCCATGCGAGGAATTCCTCGAGAAGCACGTTGTGCGCGGCGCTCACATAATCGCAGGAGTTGACCGTCTTGGTCAGGGAAGGCACATCTGTCTGTTCGGACTGATCTCTCGGGATGGGGATGGGCTGGTGTTGGGCAAACCGGAGGCATCCGTCAGCCTCGGCGTGCGAGCCGGCGGCCAGCGGAAGCACGACAATGGGCGTGGCGCTGGGCGCGACAGTTTGAAGAGGCGGCCATGTGGTGGTGACATAGTCGGAAGGCGTTAGGGTGTATAGAGGAGTGGTGGAATAGGGGTAGCTGGGGTACGTGTTGATATCGCCTACCGCCTTGACGCAGTACGATGTCTCGAGCCAGAGATTGGTGCAGTCGGGATCGTCGACGGATGGGTTGAGGAAGAAGAAATCGCGGATTTCTATGCCATGCTGGACCGAGATGAGCTGGCAGTAATCGCCATTCTGTACCTCGTACCAGCCCGCGCACTGGTCGTGCGACTCGGCCTTTGCGTTGGGAGGGCGGGGGACTGCCGTGGGGGGTGGCTGAGTTGCGGTGGGCGGCGGCCCCGTGGTGATTGTCGTCACGTCCTCCAGGCTTCTTCCGGGCGGACTGACGCAGATCTGATCATCATACATGGAGTCGATGTTGGTGCACAGCGGGTTGATATTCGGGTTCCACGTCAGCAGATCGTGAGCCCTCAAGCCGGGCACGGCCGCCAGGATATCGGCGCAGGTGTCGTCCCACTGGACGCGGTACAAGGTGCACGGCTCCGGTAGGCACAGCGCCTTGCCAGGGACCAGGTTGGAGCAGTCGGGCATGGCTTGGCCGGCCCTGATGACCGAGTGTGTCGACACCCCCTTCGCCGTGGCGATTGAGTCACATGTGTCCCCGGGCTGGACGATATACGGCGACGCACACGTCGGAGCCCCGGTGGGGGACGAGTGCGGCTTCGTGCTGATGGCATACGGAGCGGGAGAGGTGATGTCGTAGCCGGCCGCCCCGCAGCTCGCCGTCTGAGACTGGAAGTCGGCGGCAAATCCAGCATCGTAGCCAAATGGTGAGTTCAGCAGAATGCTGCCAACGCCAAGGGCGCAGTCGGAGCAGCCGTCAGCGGTCGTTCCGTTGGCGAGGTTGTCAAGGTAGATCTCATCACAATACACGCCCGAGGCGCTGTCCGTTGCACAGGAAACGTCATAGGCGTGAATCATGCGGTCGATCAGGTATGTCGCCGGGTACACGACACGACCCATCTCAATGACGTCCGTGTTGGCCGCGCAGCCCAAGGCAATGACGCCGCGGACCGAGGTCAGCGATGACTTGCAGCCAGAAGTGCACAAAGCGTCGAGTATAGGGGACGCCAGGCGAGGCATCTCAACCGAATGCACAGCCAAGAAGCCCGGGCAGCTCTGTACCGTCGTGTTGAGGGCTTCGTAGCACTGCTCGCTGAGCCCCGGGTAGGCGGCGTGGCCGAGCGTGATATCGGTGAATTGCTGGGCATTTGCAACGCCCACAATGCCGACAGCAAGGACAAACGCCCACGAGCGTAGGGGGAACCACTCGAGCTCCATTGCCTCGAAATGTTCAAAATGAGTGACTGAGTGAAGTTGTGTGTTAAAACGAGTGTGTATAGAAAGGGATAAGGAACGAGAATGAGGCGTCCGGATCTCTAATGGGCTCTTGGGGGGGGGGGGGGGGGGGCTTCACTCTCAAGAAAAGGATGAGGTGACCATAAAGAGGCAAGAGAACAAAGAGGCGGACCGCAAACCTGGCCCAGCCTAAGTCCGTTTTAGAGTCTCCTCGCCGCTTCGCGCGTGTACCCGTCTCATACGCCTCCCCCATTCTTGTATTCCTCCCCCCTCCTCCCCTTCTCCCATGAGAAAGGACTCAGAGAGTAAGATTAGTTCTCCCCCTTCGTGCGGATACGGTGATACGCGGATACGCCAAGAATACGGAAGCCATAGCGCATATTCGCAAATTATGACCTCGGTCTTCATGTTGTCAGATCAATGTTTTTTTTACGTACAGCTCGGAACTTACTAGTTTCGGATCGCTCCCGTAGGAACCCTCGGGGCGCAGATTATCAATCGTGGGGCCGTGTTTTAATTTCAAGCCCCATGCAGACTCCATCCCCTAATGCGGGTGATAAGGAATGATGTCACCTCACGATTCCACTCTCACGACGACATTACTTCTAGGAATGTCTTGGCAGTGATGGTAGTAACTTTTGAGATATTTCTTGTATACTTGAATGACGCGACTCTGTTAGCGTAGGATCTAGCTAGTGCAGCTCGGAGATGAGCATAGTTTCAAACATCAATATCGCACTCAACTTACTGCACTGCCAGGGTAGCTTGAACACCCCGCACGGCTCGCTTGGCCGGATATTGATGCCTCATTCGTTCAGCCATGGTGCGGCAACAAGTCGGTTCATCTCTGCGAGGTGCAGAACGATGTCGCGGCCCGTGATGACAACGGCGTCTTGGCCCGGTCGGTCTACGATTCGACGTCCACGAAGCCCCCGGCGTGCCTGTTGGTGCTTTGTAGCTTAAGAGCGTCCTCACGCCCACCATGGTTCCCGACTATGGACTTCTATCAGGACGTCCAAGGAGGTCTAACTCTCCGTCACTCGTTCGAGCCTCCGTCGTCCGCTCATTTTGGGACCAAGTCCTAACTCTGATATCAGCATGGCTTCCTTCAAGGAACGCCGCTCCACGTTCCTTTCACTACTTTCACTCACTTTCTTTGTTCTTCTCGCCCTCTACATCGGCGGCAGAAATGGCAGCTCTCCGGTAGAGGTCCCCCAGCTGCATGCCCGGTCTGAGGGCCTGGCCACCGGCGGTTCCGCCCCTGTCTCACCAGCTGCTGGCAATGCGCCGGTTTCGTCCGTCCCCCACGGCCTTGTACGTCGGCAGGAAGACGACCCCTACACCTGTGGCCCCGGCCGCCCATGCTCCAACGGAGCCTGCTGCGGACCTTCTGGCAACTGCGGTTATTCGCCGGCGTACTGCGGCGACGGATGCCAATCCAACTGCGATGCCAAGGCCGAGTGCGGCCAGTACGCTGCGAACCCCGGCCAGACCTGCAAACTCAACGCCTGCTGCAGTCAGCACGGTTTTTGCGGTACCACCGAGGAATTCTGCACGGATGGCTGTCAGTCAAACTGCATCCTCGAGCCTCAGCCGCCGGGGGGCTCGCCCAAGGGCGCGGCGCTCGACAAGGTCATCGGCTACTATGAGGGCTGGAGCTACCGGTCGCCATGCAACCAAAAGTCCCCGTCCGACCTGCCCCTGAAAGAGCTGACGCACCTTAACTACGCCTTCGTCTTCATCGAACCCGAAACCTATCAGCTCGTGACCATGGACATGGAGCACGAGGACGACCTGTGGCAGATCACCGTCGATGCCAAGCAGTATAACCCCAACCTCAAGGTCTACGTCGCCGTGGGCGGCTGGACCTTCTCCGACAACGGCACCGTCACCCAGCCATTGTTTGGCGAGATTGCCCGCACCCAAGCGAACCGCCAAAAGTTCGCCGACGGCGTCGTCAAGTTTCTCAACAAGTACGGATTCGACGGCCTCGACATCGACTGGGAATATCCCGGCGCTGGCGACCGAGGCGGTCACGACGAAGACACGCCTAACTTTGTGCTCCTGATGAAGACCCTCCGCAACACCTTTGACGCGTCGCCGCGGCGGCTGGGCCTGACTTTCACCATCCCTTCTTCTTTCTGGTACCTCCGGTGGTTCGATATGCCGGGCTTATTGCAGTATGCCGACTGGACTAATTTGATGAGCTATGACCTTCACGGGACATGGTAAGCGCTTCTTCTTCTTCTTCTTCTTCTTGTTCTTCTTCTTGTTCTTCTTCTTCTTGACCCTCCCTCACTCCCGCTCCCTCGTTCGCTCGCTCCTCTAACGCCAAGTGCGTAGGGACGAGCACAACCCGATCGGTGCCATCGCCCAGGCACATACCAACCTCACCGAGATCAAGCTGGCCACACAGCTCCTCTGGCGCGTGGGCGTTAAGCCTGAGCAGGTTGTTCTCGGCTACGGCTTCTACGGGCGCGCCTTCGAACTTGCCGACCCAAGCTGCAAGACACCCGGCTGTCCATTTGCCGGCGGCGCCAAGAAGGGTCCCTGCTCCAACGAGGCCGGCATCCTGATGTACTACGAGATTCAGGCCATCCTCAAAAAGTACCCCAACCTGGACCCCGTGTTCGACGAGGAGGCGGCCGTCAAGTACGTCACTTGGGACAACAACCAGTGGATTTCATACGACGACGCCGACACGTTTGCGCTCAAGCTAGACTGGGCCAATGAGATGGGTTTCGGTGGCTCCATGATCTGGGCCGTCGACACCGACGATGATAAGTACTCGGCTATGAGCGGGCTGATGGGGTACCAAGTCTCGCATATCGATACGACCGAGGTGAAGGCGCTGGCCATGAACGATAACAATGTGGCCGAGACCCTGAAACTGGAGAACGGAGATGGCTGTCAGATCATGAAAGACTACGACTGCACGCAGTTGGCAGATATGACGTGTCCCGATGGGCAGGAGTTGGTGGCTTATGATAGAAATGGATGCGTGAGTCTCTCTCCCCTTCATTCCCTATCTCATTTTTATTCTTTCTTTCTTTTCTTTTTCTTTTCTTTCTTTTATTTTTTAAGGGGGCTACGCTGACCCAGAATGTTGCCACTCACTAGGGGAGTGAGGACGACACTCAAGGAGTGCCCGTCTGCTGCCCCACGGGCTCGACGGGCAAGAAGTGCACGTGGCGGGGAACACCCAAAGACGGCGGCATCTGGGGCGACTGCAACGGGCAGTGCCACGCGGGCGAGACCAAGATTGGCGACTCGAGGTACGGGGGCGGATCCTCGGCGGACGAGAAATGGCCGCTGAAGAAGTGCGCCCGAGGCCGCAAGGTGCTCTGCTGCGAGGCCAACGATTGGAAGCAAGTAGTTGACGGCTGCTACTGGACCCCATGGTAAGCTGCGAAACGCATGTCTCCTTGTGAATGACTTTCTCAGAGCTGGTGGCTAATGTCTTATGGAATTTGCGGCGTTGTAGCGTGGGGAGCTCCGGACAGACCCAGTGCAGCGGGAACACGGTTCAGCTTGCGACAAAAAAGGGCTCTTGCTTTAATGGTGCGGAACAAAGTAAGTTTTCTCCAATCATCAGTCTAGGGAGAGGGAAGGGGTTCGGACTAATAACGAGGTGGCAGAGTATTGTTGCCCGTGGGATACCGGGCTGTATGAGTGCAAATGGCGCGGTAGCGCGCCCGATTGCGTGGGGGCAAACTGCAAGACCCACGAGGATGGAAAGGACTTGTTCGAGGTGCAGGTCGACGCGCATGCGGGTGGCAGTTCCTGGAACCTCTGCAGTTGGGACAGGAAAAAGGCTCTGTGCTGTCAAGTCAGGGTTGCGATACCCGAGCCTCTTACCTGCGAAATCGATTCCTGCGACATCGATTATGATTTGTGCTCCCAAACCAACAAGGATGAGTGGGGAAATGACCTTGAGCGAAGGGGCATCGCGACGGCGGATGAAGATGATCAGGGCCTTGCAATTGTCTCCCGCGACGTCGACCTGGAGAAGCGCGACGGTGGCAAGCGCCCGTATAAATGGGTCACGAGCTTTGGTTTGGTCGTTCTGCAGAATTCCCTGACTTACCCCTCCCCTCAGGGGTATATGAGGAGGCTCCGAGAAGGCCAAATCGAACTTGCGCGAGCTTGGATGGTGAGATCACAGAACTGCGGCAGCCCGGGCGTTGAGGCTCGGAGAATAGACCCGGCCCAGGGCGCTCCCGATAGGACGCAGGTCGAGCACACGATACCATTGGTCACAGTATCCCGCTTCGGTTCTGTTGCCGAGCACGGCCGAATGTGGGCGCCTCGTCCCGCGGGATATATCGACAGAAGAGGTAGAGAAATCGGACAGGCTCACCCTGCAGGCTCGTATACCGACAGGCCGGCAGCTGGTAACGAGAACTTTTGGCGGAATGTCTGGAATAACGCCAACGGCCTACCCCCTGGCCTGCCGCCGGTCACGCAAAACTCGCCGGAGCAAAGACGGCCTGTCGACCGCCTCTACGAGGCGCTGGGCTCTAATAGCAACGCGGCCCACTTCACCCTGCTCCAGGACAATATCAACGGGATGAAGGGTCGCGTCGAGATCTTCAACGCTCCCATGGCCCAGGACAGATTCGATACCTTCTTAGAAGATGCCACTGATCCCTCAAATGACTCGCGTAACGTGGACATCATGTCCTTCATGGCCCCACTACGGGAGCTGGTGGGCATGTTCCAGTATTTGAGGGCCTCGGACGTCGTCACGCGCATCGACGCGGGCGCTGCCGCCGTCCACTTCCAGCTCCAGCTCATCGAGCTACACTCTCCCGACTCGCAGGGTCTGTCAGCGCTTTGGAACGAGTTCTATCCAGAATATTTCCGCCTTGTCTCCGAGTTCGCTCGCACGTGGGCTGGTGACCGAATTAGGCAGATCAGGGAGCACTACGAGGCTCACCCCAACAATGAGTATCGCGACGAAGTCTTGAAGGCTCTGAAGGTGATCGAGGGTGACATTCCTAAGTGGAAGTATCCTTCCGAAGACTAATTGCCTATGCCTATGGCCTATGGCATCGAGTGTGTAGCTAGATAAGGGAACACTGTTCAATTGAGATGCCTGAATTACTGCACCACTTTGGCCGTCTCATCATAGAAAATAATCATCCCTCCAGCCCCAGGTTCGGAGACGAGCAGAACCTAGAGGTGGGGAGGTAAGGGTCATGTACGTTCTCGCAGATGGAAGCTTTGCAGCGGAGGAGTTGCTTCCTGTCAGGCATGCCAGGCCGGAAGCAGGGTATTTGAAATGGCATTTGCTCGCAGGGTGCACCCCTCGGTGTAAATAGTTCCAAGGCATAGGATGCTACATCTTGAGCTTTAGAATCCGGATCTCCTAGTATAGAATAGAGGATATCGAGGCATAGAAACGAGATTTTTTTTAACATGCTGAGACGGTGCTAGAAGTGACTCCCTTGTCGGGAAGGGTTCTTCCAGGGCTGTGCTGTGACATCAAATGTGGCTCCAGGGCGGACGAGTCGGAAAAAGGATCTTCCGAATTAGGAGGAGAAAGTCTTTCTTTTCCTTCATTATTAATCTTTCAACTTCTTCAAGTTATCAAAATCAAGTAGTCATAGTCAGTTCTAGAAGCATCATTAGTCTACTCTACTCTTTTTCAGTCCTTTGACATATAATTCTTGTTTCTATTATCAGTTCTAATTCCAGGAAACTGTGTGGGAACAAAACGGTGTTGGAAGGAAAGGAAACTTTCCTAAAAAGAGCCAGCGGGCGGTGCTAGACTTGGTCTGAGGTTCCGCAGCTCAGGCTAGCCGGCCTGGGCCGCCAACACGAGGTAACAAGTAAGGCAACTAAACAAACTAAAAACTTGAAACTAAACTACAGTAAAAGGACTATTATAATGTTGCACTGCAGACGCACGCCAAGTCAAGCTAAGGCCCTATCATCGAGGCCTAGCTTGGTACCTGCAGGTGGCAGTCTTCATTTTAAAACGCCCCTCATCCGCTTCCAAGGGCCGCCAAGGGCCGCACCCACCAGGCCATTTCACCCCATAAACTTAGAAGATTCCACTTGCAAAACCCCACCACCACCACCACCAATGGGCGCCTCGTCCGCACTTTGGCCGAAGTTTCACTCCCCGAGGTCCATTCCGAGCATCATCCATCACCACCTGCTACCTCCGACCCGGAGTCTCCGTCAGCAAGCCTCGGCCCCATTCGTCACTCATCGACCCACCACCGCAACACCCTTCACGACTCGCCTACCATCACTACAACCACACACACGCGCGTTCAACCGGCGGCCCTTCATGTGTTCATCAGCGCGGCCCGCCCTGAAGAAGCAGCAGCAGCAGCAGCAGCCCCAATCCATCAGCGGGGAGGATTGGGAAAAGCTCTCGCCTGAAGCAAAGATCCAGTGGCTCGGAGAGGACAAATGGGGCTGGGTCATCTACCGGTGCTCCTACTCCAAAGAGTTCGACGGCCCCTGGGACAACCTCAAGCGCCGCATCCAGCAAGGAACACGTGAGTCCATCGCCAAGTCGGGCGTACACAGCATCGCAGAAACTATGGACTTTGTCTTTATCGAGGACCCCGCGCTCGAGGGCGCCTCGGTCGAAGAGCTGCGGTGTCGCTTCCAGGCCTGGGCGCGTGACGACAACACTACGGGTTTCGACATGGATGATAACACGCAAGGCTCGCGGGGCTCGAGGTATGAGTTCTTCCTCAAGGTCGACGGCGAAGGGTTGTGGAACGGCTACGTTGGTCTCGTTCGGGCCTGGCCTGATTCTCCGGGGAGTGAGGACTGGATGAAGATCAGGGCTGGCGCGGTTGCGCCTGCGCTCTATGTCCAGCTGGACAACCCTGAGGTGTGGTACGCGTATTACACGCCGCCAGAGCGCGGGATGTGTAATGCCTGGTAAGAACGTGCTGCTGGGCTTGCGGCCATTGTTGAAACACTCATGTGGGCACTCACTTTTTGGGGCATTACTTGTTAGTAACATGATCGAACTAAGCCTCCGGCTGCTTGCATCTACATGCTGTCGGCCGATAGCTGGTGCTACTGGTAATAGATTCGGTTTATTAGGCCACACATTAAAGGCTGGGAGATGGGTGTAAAGCAAAAAGTAAATATTCCAATTGCCCTAATTCAAAGATATAGTCCTTCCGTGACACTAATTGTCCTGGCAGTGTATAGCAGTTGATGAACAAATTAAACGAGGCTCGAGACGTGCTAAGCCAGCGCGTCAATCCCACACACCGAGTTGTCCATTGCTAGGTTATGCGTGGATGTCAAAGGCCTCCCTAGCCTGAGCGCTCCCGACCTTCAACCTCTTTCAGCTCAACTCCTTAGAGAAACAGTCGCCCCATCAAACCCTCGACTCACGCACCGTCTGGAAGAAGCCTCTCACAAGATGAGCCGATCAACTTTGTCAAGTGACGAAGCATCTATCATATCTATCAGAACTATTGCTCACTGTGACCGTGATAACCCACATCACCTCACACCAGCAGATTTAACAGCAAGTCGTCCATCACACGAACACACAAGACGCATCCTGAGTTCCGTCGAAGAGCGCAAAAGAGCAAAAAAGGAAAGCAAAATGGAAAAGGAACCAAAAAGAACATACAACACCAGGGATTCGCTGGTCGTCACCGACCCAACTACTAGTCTGGCGCTTCGCAGCTTGTGTACAGGGGAGCGGACGGGACCCTCAATATTCTGCGAGCTATGGCCGTATGTACCAGGGGCTGGTCCTAGACTGGACTATACCATTGCTGCGTTACGATCGGCTAACATGGGCGATGGCAAGCGGACTGGATGGACTCGGATCGCCAGGTCGCGGCCGCGTTTCATTGTCTCTGGACCTTAGAATTGACTTTCTGTTGTTTAACCCACCCCGTCTCGTGACTGCATCACTAAGTTAGTAAGTCACGGATGCCGATCTAATGGGTTCGTGCCATGAGGGTTGACGAACTTTCCGATATAAAATTTCCAAATCATCCGTTCACCAAATACGAAGCGCACTATCCCTCCACTGGGTCCTATATAACGCATTCTCTAACCAAGGTTCAATCCACCAGGGCCATGGGGCCTCTTAGCATTGGTAGATCCAACTCGTGGACTATACCGATACTCCAGGTGAATTGGGAGGTCTCTGTACTCGCGGACCAGACGCTCAGGTGTCAGCCTGTTAAACTAATACAGGTTAGCGGGAAGAGGGAATAGTTAGAGTATCTATATTCATCACACCTTGACGATTTCGCAATTATCCAATGTCCAAATCGATAACCACAACCGTGTTAGCGCTTACCATGGACATACCCTCCGGCTTGAATGCCGACTTGGAGGTGCCGTGGTTGTTGTTGTCACATCCCGCGATTCGGCGGTGACGCTAGCTCATCCGCATCCGCGGCCAGCTCATCACTGGGGCTGCCGACGAATGGTTTGGAAACGACCACCGTTCTGCGGGTTTTGCTGTGTTTTCCCCTTGCCTTTCCAGCTAGCGCCCTTCGTGAGTTCATCCGATGATTCCGCTGTGGCTTCGTTGGCTTGGTGATATGTTGAACTTGGCTTCGTCTTGGCTGTATCTGTTTTTTGTGTGCGTTGCCCAAACCACCCTGCCGCGCACCCCAACGGATTCAGTAACGTCGGGCCGGGCGGCGTTGTTTTGTCGGCAGATTAGGCGGGAATGCTTTTTGTTTAGATTCGGGCTAGCATTCGCTCCTCCAGGCGTTGCCCTCGGGTAGGACCGTTAAGTAGGGACCGGTTTGTCGGTGCCTATCGTAAGCGACACTCAGATCTCTCCAATACGTTTCATAAACCCCCATTCAGGTCCAACATATATAATACAGTATTTATCTAAGAAAATGACGCAAAAAAGTATAAGCAGCAGAATCTTATTAAGCTATATTTCCTAAAATTAAAAGAGGAAAGAGGAAAGAGGAAAGAGGAAAGAGGAAAGAATAAAGAAGAAAGAGGAGAAAGTAAAAGGACGAAAAAAGTAACCTAGCTATCAACTTCCAACATGGAAGCTCTATTATGACTTTGACTTCTTCTCCTTCTTTTTCTCCTTTTTATCCTTCTTTCGAGACCCTCCCTGCTCATCTTCCTCGACTCCTACCCAGGTATACGTGTAAAAGGCCAGACCAAGACTCTGACTCTCGAACACATAATACGGCGTACCGTCGTCCGCAGAGTAGGTCATCCACCGCGTAGGTCGCGTCTTAATCTCCTCCCCAGAATACATAAAGCACACTAAGCCTTGCTTTAGGTAGATGTCGACAGGGATAAGATCTTCCTCTGTTGCCCCTTCAGCCTCTTGTTCGCGGCTAGAGGCCGCCACTGTGGTTTGCTGTCGCTCCTGCAGGGCTAGCTGACGCATCTGCATGGCCAAATACTCTTGTTCGAGCTCGTCCGCATCCGCGGCTAGCTCATCACTAGAGCTGCCGACAAATGGTTTAGAAACGACTGCCGGTCTGCGGGTTTTGTCGTGAACGGCTTTCCCCTTGCCTTTCCAACTACCGCCCTTCGTGAGTTCATCCGATGATTCCGCTGTGGCTTCCTTGGCTTGGTGAGATGCTGAACCTGACTTCGCCTTGGCAGTCTCTTTCTTTTTCTCTTTTGCCTTCTCCTTTTCTTTCCCTTTCTTCGTCTTCTCTTTCTCTGGGTCTTTCCCCTTGTCCTTCCTCGTCGGCTGCCTCGCCCTTCTCCCTTCTTGCTCCGAGCCTAGCTTGGATTCTCGCCGCGGGGTAGGGTACGGAACTCCCGCCTCATCCGCCGTTAAAACAATGCCGCTCAGCCCGACGTTGCCGAATCCGTCAGGGTGCGCGGCAGGGTGGTTTGGGCAACGCACACAATCGATGTATTGGTCCGAAAAGCGCTCGTTGTCCTCCAAGCCTTCCTCGGCAACGCTTCGGCTTTCGATATGTGATCTGTTTGTGCATCGTGCCCATATAACGTTACAGGCGGTTGATATTTTCGTCTTCCTGTTATAATCCACGCCCAAACACTGGGCATAGAAGTGACGATCCTTAGGGCAGTCACAGCGCTCGCAGTGGCCTAGGACACCCGATGAGGAGGACATGGTCGGTGAGGTTTGGTAAGCTGTCGCGAAAATAAAAGTTAGGTATAAGGGGGAGGAATGCCGATTCGAGATGGAGGGCTGTTGGGAAAGGCATATTCGTATACATATATGTAAAAATGTCAAGACTTACTTCATATTAGTCGTGAATGAGGCTAGCGGTCGCATTGGGCATGGCGGTTACATGCTTGGGGAAGAAATGGTCCCTCTCCCTCTAACCACTATACCTCGGAGGCAGACGCATGTGGTGCGAAAGTTGGGGCGCGAAGTCGAGGCGTGAATGGTCCATGATACGCCCGGATTATTGCCGTTTTGGGAGGCTCTGAATGCAGTTAGACGTGCGAGATGAGTCGGTTGGTTGAAGAAAAGTCCACCACTCTAGGCAGCAGTCAATTTCATGCAGAGTATAGAATCTGTCTGCGAGGGAGTCTCGGAAGGGATTCGCTCCAGCCAATCCTTGATCCATTCAGATTCCACTGAACTCGCCCTGCTCTCAGAACTGATCGGCGAATCGCCAAAATGACGTGGTGGCACAACCGTGCCAGTCAGCCCTCTCTCAACTTGGTTGTAGCACCACCTAAAGGTGCTTTCGGTTGTGAAACGTGATATGAGGCGAATGGCCTTGGCATCCGCGGCAGTTAGTCTCGGTTCTTTTCCATCGTCATCATCATGTAGAGGTTCAGTAATTGATAGGTTGAGCCTCGGATCTAATAGGGAATGTGTTGAGAATGAGGGTCTTCCATCGGGGACAAAGCCTGCATCAGTATGGGAATTGTGGCGCCAGGTCCAGTGCGAGTAGGACCACTGATGGGAGCAAAGTAGATGATCTCGGATCTCGAGCTCGACATCTTCCATGGCCATGGAGCCAAATGGTTCCCAGCCGTTAATGGGTCTGTCAGAGTAGTCCTCTACATATCCGTCGTAACTACCATGACAATCATGCCTCAGGCGCCAAACATCCGCCCTGGTGACCATCCCGCCACGGAGATATGGCCCAGGTCGTTGCAGATCCATGAACGAGTTGGGGATTCCGGTCCATGCTGCTGTATCCCGAGCATCCAGATAATTCCACAGAGAATTATCAAGAGTAGCAGACATCCAGGGGTAATGGCCACAAATCATTGTTCCAAGCCATAATGGGGCAGCTCTACTGAACGAGATGATTTTCACTAAGAGCTCGTGTTGCTCGCACTGTATTTCCGGGGTGATTATGAGCCGAATAGGTCTCATAGAGGCTCCGGCAAGCGTGCATGGGACGTCGGGTTCCCAGAAACTGCTATCAAGAGTCGTGGCTAAGGTAAAGCGAGACATTCCGAGAGTCAGGTAGTAGCTCAAATGTTTAAAATCGGGTGGCGGATCTCGGATCTCAGAGGGGTTGAGGTAGTTGGTAGCATTAGACGTGAAGCGGGGCTTTGGGGGCTTCACGATGGTATGGAGAGGGAAACATAGAACGGCTGCCAAGGCAGCGGAGCACTGATTACCCAGGTTGTAAGCAGCACAGAGCCTGGCTAGGTAGACTGCGGCTTCTTGGGAGCTTGGCAGACTGAGATCGTCGTCCCCCATCTCCACGCCATCCCATTTACCAACGACCCGGATTCGCCCGATGTCTTCGATGCAAACAGACCATCGAGGATAAAACTGCTCGTCCACAGCTTGAAACGTCGCATCGGGCTTCGTGATAGCCCTCCACCAAGCGAGTTCTCGCTGGTCCGCATAAGAGAGGTCAAGGGTTGTTATGGAGGTGTGGGGCGAAGTTGGGGTTGAGCCTTCGGACTGGAAGGGAACTGATTGAATCTCCAGGCCTTGCCGTTCCAGTAGATTTGCATTCAGGATGTACGCCCAAGCCAATACCAGCAAAGCTATCCCATTATTCGGCGTGCCATCCCAAACTTGGAAATCGGCAGATGTTGATACGGCAAAGCGAAGAGGCTTACGATACCGGAACGCGAAACGGTGAGGCGCTTCCGTGATGGTTTCTAGCGGGCAAGTGATATCTGAGGATTTCCAAGTAGAATAACCCTCTAACGTCTTCATGCTGTTGGGAATCTCATCGGGAATAGCGGGAATCCGAAAGAGTAGGGCCTTCAGGTCATAAACGTGGTCCGGGAACTGGCCTGGACGCATTGATTTCGCAGCTGTCAGGGCGGCTTTCCATCGTTTGTAACTCCTGGAAAAGACTGTCTGGAATTCTTCTTTGGTAAATAGCTTCTCATTATCGAACTCGGTGTCGACCGGTTCTTCCGGGAGACGAGGAGGCTGTTCCAATTGGCCAGGATCAGAATCATCATCGTCATCGTCGTCGTCGTCGTCATCCTCATCATCTTCATCTTCAACCGAGCTTGAAATGAAGGAGCCCTCATTAGAGGTGCTGTCCTCCGAGCAGGTGGAGGGAGCGTGTTGCGGATCTATTGTGGCCCGTTTCCTTGTCGAAAGCTCGGAATCAGAAAGACGTCTGATGGATACGATAGATCCTTCGTCACTTAACGAAGTTGGTTGACTCATGTTGAGAGAGCCTTCTTCCGGGCGGTGCATGAGTCGAGGGTTTGATGGGGCGACTGTTTCTCTGAAGAGATGAGAGAAAGGAGGTTGAAGGTCAGCAGCGTTAAGGCGAGGGAGACCTGGCTGAGCATCTAGACCTTCGGCACAACACAGCAATGAGCAACTCAACAAGTCAGTATGATTGGATTGACGCGTTGGCTTGACACGTCTTGAGCTTCCACCAACTTGTCCACCAGGTAACGGCTGCCATCCACTGCGACAATGTTCCCTCTGTGATTACGTAATAAACATTCAACTGGGCAAAGACCGCGATTGTGACGACCACATCCAAATTGTTCGAACCCATTTCGACCATTCTGTTGTTACGGTGTGGTATTCCAAAATCGGTATAGGAGCGACAACGGACTTGCTTCGCACCCATGGATGATTACGAGACCGTCTTAAAAGGGCTACGAATTGTGGGAATCAAGCAAGCGACGAACTACCTCCCTAAGGTGGATGTCCAATCCGTCAAGAGGTGATCCACCTCGAGGAGGGACTGCATGCCACCCAGCTTCGACAAGCCCATCGAGGATTTGGATACATATTTCGCAGGAATCATTCCGAAGCCCCAACATGCCGGGGAATCCATCATCAACCCGCCTACCATAGCGAAAGAGAATCCCCGCCAGCCAAGCTACCTTGACGTTCTGTACTTCGGCATCGGACAGTTGTGCGAGCGACACAAGCGTGGTCTAGAAGTGGTCCCTCACCTCCAGCGCATTATCGTGCTCTATCCACCCTTCCGGGCTCCTTTCGCCGACAATGTTGTCCATAGCGTAGAAGTCGAACCCGAAGGGCAGAACGCTCAACTCGGCCGTGTCAATGACGCCCGTGAGGTTACCCGTGTCTTGGTTTACGAGTATGTTTAGCAGGCTCAGGTCGCCGTGGATGGGGACCAACGCAGAGCTGGTGTCTGGATCGAAGAACGCGTCCATGTGGTTCTGCACGTATTCAACGGCGGGCTGGAAGCGATCGGGGAGTGTATTGCGAAGATTATCCAGTCTGCCTAGGCACGTACGAGCAATGGGACCGCGCTCTTCGGGTCCTATGTTGATAGAGTCCCGTGCGACTTGTAGGGACCTTACATAGAACCTGGGTGCAATGTCAGTCGTTTTCTCTTCCTTCGAAATGAGGTTGGTGGACGTGGGCTGCTTTCACACATACATACTTTGCTAGATCCTCTGCAAGAACCAACCGCCTATCCGGTTCCAGTTCAAAAGATCTCCACGCCTCGACAACGGTATCGCCCTGAAGTCTGGGCATCGAATATGCCTTGAGCGCACCAACCGTCCCGTGATATTCGTGACGCACAACAATCCCAGGGTGCGCGCCGGCAAACGCCCGATACAGCTGCGAGTCTGGGTCCGGCAGCGGCGAGCCCTTTTCCCGGAACTGCACCATCGCCAGCTATCACGGTGTAGGTGAAGGCGCCCTGGGATCTGACGGGCTCGGTAGGACCGGCGAAATGCGTCTCGGCGAATTGGTCGCACTGAGCCTTGTTATGGAAGAATGCGATCATCTCTTGCAGTATGAAGAAGGGGGCGAGTGCCGACAGCAGTGAATTGACCAAGGAAACGCATTTGCTTTAATGACGTCACACTGCCTCCAAACAGAGAGCACCTGGGTTGGAACAACACTCAGAGTGGTAAAGGATATAGTCTAATCTTAGAGGCTGCCTGGTACATACGACCATAGCTCGCAGAGAATTGAGGGTCCCGTCCGCTCCCCTGTACACAAGCTGCGAAGCGCCAGACTAGTAGTTGGGTCGGTGACGACCAGCGAATCCCTGGTGTTGTATGTAATTTTTTGCTTCTTTCCTTCTTTTTGCTCTTCTCTCTTTGGAATTATTTGTTTTTCCCGGTTTCAAACAGGTTGAGGATCTGGATCTCTAAGACAACGGATACGGATGTCGTAATAAATAAACGTCGAGTAAACGTCGTGTATATTCAAGTATTTTCGGTGGGATGTCTGTCTGTCGTCTTCGTCGCTCTCACTACTTCCAGTTGAAACAACAAAAACACGAAAATCTTAATACCTCCATACCAGCCTCGATTCCATGAGACACCAGCTTCGTATTTCAAGACAAGGACAAGAGACATCACACAAACTCAGACCTCTCCCGTAGATTTCACAACCAATTCAAGTCCAACATATACAATACACTACAGCACGTATCCAAGAAGATGCAAAAGCATGAACGGCAAAATCTCATTGAATTATCTTTCCTTCACTCGAGTTCGCAGGCTCTGAGCAGAAAGGAGAGAGCATGTTTGAGAAAGAGAGGTGAAAAAAGCATCCATCTATCTCCAAACTCCCTTGGGATCGACCTCCCGATTCCCATTGTATCAACAACTAGAAAACGAAGAAAATAAGGGGTTTCGAAAAGAAGTCATTCTCGTGAAAAATTCGTTTCCCGTAATTCGTCGCCAAGAAAAGAAAAGGAAGTAACTGAAAACAAGCGAACCTCCGTGTCTGACCTTTGTTTCCGTCTAAAGATATTGTCCGAAGTAAAGACCCCAGCGCTCCAAATCGGGGGAAAAAGTTAGGAGAAAGGAAGAGAAAGAAAAAGAATCTGAAAGAAAATAAGGGAGAGAAGAAGGCAAGAGAGGATCGAGCGGATGCAATCGAAAGAATAAAAGAAAGAGAAAATACGAATGCCGAAAACATGCGGAGTGAACCGAACCCTATCTAAACTCCCTGGAGCCATATGTGCGTTTGTGCCTTTCATGTCTGAGACATCTGCGTCCATCACCTATTTGTGCCCGAGCACGAATCTTCTGTCCCCCATCTAGTCACAGCGCGAGAGAAGCGCTGAGATTGGCATGGTCCTTTCCGATTCGAAACGTATCATCTAAAGATATGCTCCGCCAAATATTGAAAACTTTTCAAAGACGAATACCTCTCCACAACCTCTGAGAAATCTAAAAGCGATTACCGCCGGAATCGCGCGAGCTGCGCCATAATATTTTTCACTTGAGCATCCGTTCCCTGGGTTTCCGGAGGAGATCTGGCTGGTAGTGGAGCAGCTGATTGTCCGAATCCTGGGCCCTGACCAAGATGAGGTCCTGTAGTATCGGGACCAGTCGAGTAGGTGCCGCCCGCGGAATATCCGGCCGAGGGGGCAGACTGAGGAGGTACAGAGGGACCTCCTCCCTTGAGTGATCCTAGAATCGCCTGGATATCGATGCCTCCTGGAGCCGCGGCGGTGGGTGGTTGTTGCGGTGCGCTGGCACCGGGAGGTAGAATAGGCGCTGATCCGGGTTTCTGAAGCTGGCTGAGAATATGCTGCAAATCAACGCCACCGTTCGGGGTATTGCTGGTACCACTGCTGCCGCTCTGGGGAGGTGGATATGTGCCGGGTACCGGTCCGTGCTGGCTAGGATATGACGGGGGGCCTCTTGCCGGTGGTGGGGGTGCGATTGCATGATGCGGCGGAGGTTGGCCGTAGTAGCTACCGCCCTGTGGAGCCGCGCCGTAAGGAGCCGGTGCAGGGTGGTACGCGGGCGGCGCAGGCTTTGTCTTGGTACGAACGACGAGGTCTGCCGCTGTGGCCGGCTTCAGACCTTGGTATTCGTTAAAGCTGACATTGCTAAGGCCCCGCGAGAGATCATAGAGATGAAGGTACACCTCACCCCGCTCCTGCGCCGAGAAATCAAGCTCGACGATACCGCAAACTCCATCCACAACCAGACGGCTAATGACGTCTTTCTTAATGTGATACGCCGGGTTGACAATCATTACGTCGGTTCGCAATCCCCTTTCGATGAAGGCTCCGCGGACCCAATTCACAAAGTTGGGATCAACCTCCTGGAGGAGAAGCAACTGAACATCGGGAGAAGAAGATGCCGCCGGAGCCTCGTGGCCATACGTGCGGCCGTCATCCTTATGACGTGACGCTCCGTACGGGCTTCGGCTACGATGTCGGTAAGAGTCTCTCTCGGACCAGTCCCTACCACGACCCCGGGGAGAAAACGAACGATCTCGAGATCGATAGCTCTCGTGATGCTGTCGGTCCCTTCCATAGGAGTCGTCGCGATGGTGCGATCGATAATCACTGCCATGTCGTCCATGGCCGTGTCTTGGCTCATCTCGACTTCGTCGTCCGGGAGGACCGCCGTCAAACCGTCCTCCTCGGTGGTGGTGGCCAGACTCCCGGTCCCGGCCGCGCGGGCCGGAAGAATCCGGCGATCTCACCCGCTCCTCCTTGGGCTCTTTCTTCTTTTGCGCTCGGGAAAATTCAAGATCTAGATATTTCATTAGCAACCGGTCAGCCCGGTTAACTTACGGGGATTCCCTTGGAAAACACGACATACGAATCTTGCGGCCCTTAACCTCGATCCCTTGCAGGTGCTCAACAGCAGACTGGGCCTCCTCTAGCGTGTGGTATTGCACGAACCCGAAAGCGGATTTGAGCGAAATCTGGGCGAGACGGCCATATCGATGGAATAAGTTGAAGACGTCGCGCTTCGAGACTTTATCCGACGACAAATTTCCTAGAGAAGGAGAAAGAAAGAACCGGGTGTTAGTCGCCAAGGATCTCAAAGAACGTTCGGTAGGAGGATGGTTGACTATCCATACCTATGAAGACTCGAGAGCCCTCGGGGAATCTATCCCACTTTTGCTCGGCTATGTATCGCATCTCGTCCGCGACATAAAGATCCCATTGCTGGTGGTAGCTTGGGGCCTGGTTGGGTTTACTGCTACTACTGCTAGGAGGGGCGCCGGGGTAGGACATAGCTGCGCCAGTCGAAGAAGACGCCGTGGTACCCGAGGGCGGTTGCGGTAGTGACGGATTCGTGGGCCCTGGGGGAGGGCCGAGTGCGGCCATCGTTTCGGTCATTCCCGGAGGAGGCGGGGCCATTTGGCCAGGAATGGCGGCCGGCAGAGACGACGGCACAGTGCCAGGCGCTGCATTTACCGACTGTCCTACTTTGATGCTTGCCTGGTTGCCTGAAGGTCTAGCCGTGTCGAGGTGAATACGATTCATGTCCACAGGTGGGCGCGAGGGAAGGTCCGCAGATGCAGGGGGTAGCGTTTGGGTGCTACTAGTGGGTGCGGTAGGCAGCTGAATGGGCGCTTGAGGAAGGCTGGACGTCTCAAAGGCATTGTGACTAGCTTGAGGCGTGGCGAGGTGGCTAGATGCGACGACCGGAAGAGGACTGGAAGACTTGGGCTTTTCAACAGGAGCAGGGCCCAAGGCCATTTGTTGGCCGGCGTTGTTCGTGGTGGGAGAGGAGCTACTCGGCTCGACAGCCGTGGCAGATACTTCAGAGTCAAGGTTGGATGATTCGTTCAGATGGGTCATCAGGATGTCAGTAGACGACAAGGCAGTAGCGGAAGAAGAAGCTTGCGCGGTAGCAGCAGTAGCAGTAGCAGCTGTTGAACTGGCACCAAAAGGTTGGGCCGTCTTCATCAGAGTGTCTGGTACACTCGAACTGGCAAGCGACGACGATACATGTATAGGTTGGGTAGCCCCGGAGACTGTGGCTGTCTCGGCTGTGTGATTGCCATTGCCCCCATTGCCTGATTCGCGATTCTTGTCTCCATCACCATTCTGCGGCTGCTCCTCCTCTTCTTCTCCGGGCAGCGGGGAGTCAAACGTTTTCGCATATTCGTCGTCAATTTCCGTGACAGCTTGGTCGATTGAAGTCGCCGTCTCGACTTTCGCACCTCCTTCTTGTTCTGACTCGCCGTACAAGTCGTCGTCAAGGCCGGTGTCGTCGCCATTTGTCGCTGAATCGCCGTCTTCTGTCATAGTAGCGAAGGCACTGAGGGTGGACATGTGTCTCATGGACGCGATTTCATGTGCTTGCGCTGCGCCTGCGTCGTCAAGCGAGTCGGCTTGACTTTGCAGTACTGGGAGTGCCGAGACCGTGGTGGTCGTGAGAGGTGCAGGAGATACAGGAGAGAGGTTCGCTATGGTATGTATCTCCGCGGTGTCATCCGCGGCGCTGGTTGGAAGCATGGTGGAGGAAAAGAAAGGAATATCCTCCGAATGCTGGGGATGAAGGCAGCCTCAGATGTAGGGAATCACGCTGTGGGTATGTGGTCAAGTGAAGGAAAGGGAACGATAGATACCGACCCTAAATAACAGTGAAGGTACTAGGAGATGGGAATCGTCGCGGGGTAGTTTAATTGTGCACGGGATAGGTAGGAAGATACTAGCTGGGAGATACGATCGTGCAAGGAGAAAAGATGCCATAGAATCGCATTGATGGCGCGCTTGAGAGATGGAGAGAAGTTTGGATGGAAGAAGTGGAAGAGAAGTCCTCGTCGCAAGGCGGAATGTGGAAAAGATGGAGTCGAGATGGGCGAGATGGACTTCAGTTGCAAAGAATGGAAAGAGCTTGGGTTTGGAGAGGGGCCCAGGCTGGCAACAGAGCGGCGGCAAACAGCACAGGAGCTCCTTCCGGGGCAGGCTCGGTCACACTTGCTTGTAATATAAAGCTTCAAGTATCGTAGGCACAAGGCTTGGGGGGAGACTCAAGATGAGGAAGGCGGGATGGTGGATGGGGATGATGGAAGCCTGAGGTGTCGGAAGGTACGATGAGACCAACAAAAGCTGCTCCGGGTTGGAAAGAGCGAGGCTGCGGGGCGCAAAGAAGTTCAAGGGCGTCAAATGGTGCAGTTCATGGACGGAAGGCAAATCATCCAAACACACTGACACCGGTGAGTCGGTATAATAGGCATCTAATTACTCGACCAGGCAAGTTCTAAACGTCGAGGCTGAAAGAACGCAGGCAGCTTTTTCCATCCTTTCAGAAAAAATGTGGCGGCTGATAAAAATCCAAGGCGGAACGGGGGCGGGAGACGTTTTCATCGCGACCATGATCCAAAAATCTGAGAGCTAATCTGTTTTAGGACTAGACTGGGAATTTCTGCCCTCAGTGTCCCTGTGAGCACTTCGGCTCAGTTCCCGACACCGATGCTACCCTTTGTTTTTCCGGCCAAATGCTTGCAAAGGAAGTCACCTGTTGCCTGCTGCTCACGGCCGTTCTATGTTTGAGTTGAGAAGCTCGGATGCTCTTCATCATGAAGCCTAGTCGCTCCGTCACATAGCCAATTTGAACATATAACGTCAACCCTTAAGGCCCGCTTAAGGATGCCCTAGGCTTAATGTTTTCTTATTGACGTGGCGGAAATGAGTGTTCCTTTTGTACGGGCTGCCCTCCCACAATTATTTTCGGCTCCGACACGGGGCCTAGGAGCCGGTTCCTTTCGCGTGGCCGCTGTTTATCAGCCTGCCCATGCCGTGCGACTGGCTCATTACAAGGCTTTCGATCCGAACCTTGATGAAGATGACTTGACCGAGGCCAGGCAATGGCGGAATTCCTTCGATGGAAAGAGCCTTCCCCGAGGTACAACGACGTTTGCTAGATCTAGCGGGCCAGGTGGCCAGCACGTAAACAAGTACGCTTGCCTTTCTTAGGGACACGAAACATTTGAAGAGTGGTTTGATAGCTGACGGCAGGGCGTCTCCTCACTACCTTCCCACGTTCTATAGAACGGAGAGCAAGGCTACAACATCATGGACAATCAACGAACTGAACGGAACTCTTCCGAAACTTCTTCGGGCTAAGCTCCGGTCCTCCAGATATTACACGGCCAGGAACGACTCGTTGACATTCTCAGCCCAGACGGAGCGGCAAAGGAGCTCCAATGTGGACGAGAACAAGGACAAACTCGTTCAGGAGCTCTTAAAGATCTACAGCGAGACGGTGCCAGGAGAAACAGATCCGCGAAAGATCAAAAAGCATGCGGAGATGTGAGTTTCTTTTTCTTCAACCCCCCCCCCCCCCCCCCAAAAAAAAAAAAAAAAAACCTTTTTCCCCTCTTATTTTTTTCCTCTCTCTTCCTCGCCAGCAAAACTTCGCTCACTCCCGATGCAGAGAGAAGGCGTTTCATAATCAGAGGATCAAGAGCAAGAAACACCTCAGCTCCAAGAAGCAGTTTAGACGTTCGTCTTTCAGCGAATAACGCTGGTGTATTTCATGTATTTTATTATGGAGGGAAAATGTATGAACAGAGACAATACGAAGCCAGGATGGCATCCTCCCCATCCAGCCGTCGAGGGTCACTTCCCCGTGAGAAGAAGGGTTCGATCGACATTTCGTATTGCAGGGAATGAAAGAAAGTCTGCATCCTAAATTTAGCATGTCACTTTGCGGCACGCACAGATTCATGGGGGCCAAGGAAGAAGGGCTGAAAGGTCCTGGAATGGGAAAATCCCTCCGCATGGGAGTGTCCGTGTGTGTGGGTGCGGATGTGTACCGCCTCGGAGGGCAGAATCCTGAATGGTCTGCCCTATTCATAGGGCTTGGTCTGGTATCCTCCACCATTTGCCCGTTTACGGGGACCCAATGTAGGAACAAGTACTGTCTTACTTCGTACATGTGGTTGCACGGATATTAATATGCAGCACTGGAGATCCCTTTCGAAATGGAGATCGGGTTTCCCCGAGAGGGGCTGGAGACTGGAGCGACCGGTATCAGGGCACCTGAGAGAAGTCTAAAAAAGGGAAAAAAACGGGCAGGTTGCGATCGGCCGCAATAGATCAGTACAGATATCGAGTCGAGCTATTTTCGGGGTCATTCCATAGTGTAGTGTTTTCCAGATGCACTCGAAGTTGTTGACACATTGCATCCAGCGGATCATGGATGGACTGGGAAAATCAATTCTCACATTGTTCTGGGCTTACACGTAGCTCGTCATCGTCAAATCAAACTGCCGGGCCAATCCCAGTAGGTAGATGGCTTCTCCGTACCTACTGATAATATCTGACCATGACCGGGCTGAAGATGGCAGATGGACAAGCTGCCAATTGGATCGTCGAGCGGAATGGCTTGGACGACATACGATGCACGCTAGCAAAAAGAATTAGGGGAAGGGAGTTCTTCGAAGAGTTTTCAGATCAGATAATTTGGTGCATTGGGTGGTAAAGCCTGGCCACTCCTCAGATCGTGGATGGTGAGCGTGGGGAGAAAGGGGCCTGCGCGATACTCCCTGTGTACATGGCAGCTCATGGGCCATCAAATCGAATGGCTCTGGGCTGTTACCGGAAAGATCGAGGAGGCGTTTTACTTGTGTTCTCGGATCGGGTCGTCTCTCCGCCTGGCTGCCTCTGACCTGCCTGTCAGCATTCTATCAAGCCCATCAATCAATTTCGTGGTTGGTGACAATCCGATTGATTGATATTGGCACATGGGGGGAAAGCGGAGAGCCCATTGAGACTTGGGCCGAGACAATTGGAGTCGAGCCGAGTTGCTGCATCGAGTTATCGAACCGAGTTATCGAATCGAGTCCTCCCCTTGTCCTCTTGTCCTCGTACCTATGTCCTGTTTGCGTACGAAGTACGAATAATCGCGTCGTCAAAAGTGCGTGAAATTATTGCAGAGTTGTACCTTCCTAAACCTCACTTCCTGCCCCCAAGTTTCTTCCCCCTTGCAGCTTCCCTCGTAGTCCAATTAAGTATCTTCAATTGCATCCCCAGAAACGCTGAGAAGGGAGAGACAAAAATCCAGGAGAGAGAAAAAGGAAGAAGAAACACATCCCCTGTCAAAGCTCGACTCCGTACGAAGAAGTCCTCCACTCTCGTCTCCAGTCCTGCGGGGTTCGCTCAGAGTCGCCCAATTTTCTTTCCCTTTTAAATTAACCCCCTCCCCCGCTTCACGCTTTACGGCTTCCCTGGCCAAGCTCAGCCTTGGTCCCTCCGACATCTAACAATAGTCCCAGACCACTGGCGCAGTACACTTCTGCGACCGACCATTTTCTTCTTTTTCTTTCTTTGTGTGTTTTCATCCTTTCCTCAGCGCGACGATATCCTCCCCTGCGATCGCGATTACCTGTGGCCACCAACCTTGTCACCTCTTCAGAATCTACTCCCCCCGCGCCATTATCTCCCGATAATAACCCCACATCGTCTTTTTCGCAACTCGACTCCGCGGCCTCTCCTTCTCAGGCATCATGGACACCCAAACAGTGACCCGTCCTCAGCCTCAGATCCAACCCTGCAGGTATAAAGTCGGAAAGACACTCGGCGCTGGTTCCTACTCGGTTGTGAAGGAGTGTGTGAACATAGAGACAGGCCGATACTATGCGGCCAAGGTGATCAACAAGAGGCTGATGGCGGGACGCGAACACATGGTGAGTACCCTTTTTATTTTATTTGAGGAAACCTACACGCCACACGCGATGCGCCACACATCAAGGTATTGGCATGTGTGGGTGTCTCACTTTTATGTCTTACTGCCTTGCCATGTACCTGTCGACTCGGATTCATGAGCAGGAACCGCTCGAGGATCATGGCGGGCCTGGGATCATAGTCGCTCTGGCATTGGTGTCAAGGTGCAAAGCGTGTGTGAGAGAGGTACGATGCGATCGGCCTCGCTAACCCCTCTTCTCTGTATGATCCAGGTGCGAAATGAAATTGCCATTCTCAAGAGGGTTTCCATGGGAAACCAAAATATCCTTACGCTCGTGGATTACTTCGAGACAATGAACAATCTCTACCTCGTCACCGAGCTCGCACTTGGCGGCGAGCTCTTCGACCGCATCTGCCGGAAAGGGTCATACTACGAGTCTGACGCAGCCGAGCTTATCCGAGCCACCCTCGCGGCCGTCGCCTACCTCCATGACCACGGCATCGTCCACCGCGATCTAAAGCCCGAGAACCTCCTTTTCCGCACACCCGAAGACAACGCCGACCTCCTCATTGCCGATTTCGGTCTCTCTCGAATCATGGACGAGGAGCAATTCCACGTATTGACGACCACCTGTGGTACGCCCGGATACATGGCTCCCGAGATTTTCAAGAAAACCGGCCACGGCAAGCCCGTCGATATGTGGGCGCTCGGAGTCATTACTTACTTCTTGCTCAGCGGCTATACCCCCTTCGATCGCCGCTCGGACTTTGAAGAGATGCAGGCCATTCTCAATGCCGAGTATAAATTCGAGCCTGTCGAGTACTGGCGTGGTGTGTCCGAACACGCCAAGGACTTTATCCGTCAGTGTCTCACGATCGACCCGAACCGGCGGATGACGGCCCACGACGCCCTTCGACACCCCTTCGTAGCCGGCAACGTGAGCAACGGCAACAGCCATGAGGGTCAGAACCTTTTGCCCACGGTCAAGAAGAACTTTAATGCGCGCCGGACGCTGCATGCGGCTATCGACACGATACGCGCCATCAATAAGCTCAAGGAACGGCAGGGCTCCTCATCACCTTCTGTCGACCATCCCACCACTGGCGATAACACCCTAAGGGCGCCCGTCCCCGATCCCAATCACTCTTCGCCGGTTGACCCCGACGCAATGGACCTGTCAGATGGTGGAGAAGGACGCCTTCAGGTCCAGACACAAGATAGTGGCTATGGCTCCCATGCAGTCTCGGTGCAGAAAGACGTGGCTATGGGCGACACGTACGATGTTCCTTCGATCCTAAGACCGGGATCGAATGCCAATCGGGTGGTGGAGACTTCGAATGGTCTCTGGACGAGTCCTGCCTTGCAACAACGATAGTGCCTTTGGACAAGGGGGGCAACCAATTGGTGGCCATCGAAATGAAATCATGGCGAGGGAAGAACACAAAGGTGTTGCCCTTTTGTTCTGTTTCCTTCTCTCTCTCTCTCTCTTTTTTTTTAAAAAAAACTCTCTTTCTGTGACACTCACCTTATCGATATCTCCGCCCTCCACCCTAATCGTCAGCCAAAAAGCAAGCCATCTGGTGAGGGCATGGGTTGTCAAAGCATGGATCCGGCGAGAGTTGAACTGTTCTCAGATGGCAACGGGGAGGTTGTCTGGCATGTGGAGAGCATCCTTTTTTTTCCACTGCCAGGCGTACATTTACTTTGGAAGGGCTAGCAGCAGGCGAGCTTGCCCGACGTACCTGATGGCGAAGTCTATTAAATGAAGTTTCTCCGTTTGGTAAAAACTTTGTGGCGAGAATTGGGCGCCGTATTATCTGATCCTTTCTTTGTCCTCGTCCTCTCCTCTTCTTTTTGTTTTTTTCTTGCATGGATCACGAAGGCATGTGTCTCCCCTCCTTTCAAAGGTCGTATCGGAGGAACATTACTCTAGTTTGGCTTTTTCCTCGTTTTTAATTTCCTCATTTTTGTTCTTTTTTCCCCCTTTACAGAGGACATTACATGAAATGATATCCCATACTTTTCCTTTTTTTCGAGTCTTACCGAATAGGCATCGTTGATGCTGTATATAACTCCCTGCAGAAAGATGAGGGTGAAGAAAGTCTTTTTGAAGCAATAATTCTTATGGTTCTTTTCGAGGCTTTTTTGACGGATTTTTTCTGGGTGTTTCTTGATTATTTTGTTGATGGTCAATAATAGATGTCAAAAGCGCACCCCAGAAACAGGCTCTGAAACTAAACTAATTACTCAGCAACATTGAAGTACGTACCAACAGTCGACGTCACCCTTAAGCTACCCACTTCCAACCGTTCGGCTTGGCTCGTCGCGACTCACACCAAACCCACGCCCACGAGCGTTTAACCAGCAATTCGTCGTCCTCGACGCCGCTTATAGAGCCCTACTCATACAACATACCCTGTTTATACGGCACTTTCTCCCGGCTGGATCGTGAGGAAGAACCCAGTTGCTAGGTGTCACCGTTGCCGTGCTCTGGGGACTGTGGATCCCCCTCCTTATCCTCCTTATTCTCGAGCTACTCCTCGTTCCTCCTCATTTCTTCTCTAAAATGTACGTAAATTCTCTCGAAGCAACGGAATTACTTGTGACTAGTTCCAATTCTGTAGAACTCCATGGACACCATCTCCGCAGCACCTAGATCAAACGTCAAGCTAACCTAATCCACCGCCCCCAGGATCGACCCATCCCTCCGCATTCGTCGCGCAATCCACGCCAACGACGCCCTCCTCGTCAAACGCATCCTAAAATCCCACCCCACGCTCCTCCACAACCCCGACACCTCCCCGCGCGGGCTCTCTAACTCCAACCTCCACCTTGCCGCCTCCCTCGGCCACGTCGAAGTAGTCAAAGTCCTCGTCTCCCTAGGCCACGAAACCCCCTGCGCCGCGCTCAACGAATCGCACCAAACAGCCCTCATGCTCGCCTCAGCGCGAGGCTTCATCGAAACGGTCCTCTTCCTAGCCGAGCACGATCCCTCCTCGATCCCGCGGCGCGACGTGCGCGGCCGAGACGCCATCATGGAGGCGAGCTTGGGGGGCCACGATACGGTGTTGCAGATCCTGTTGACGTGGGATCCGGAGGGCGCGGCGAAGGCGGTGAGTAGGGCGGATGTGGATGGGAATACTGCGTTGCATTTTGCGAGTAGTAATGGGAATTTGTTGGTGTTGAGGACGTTGTTGGCGGCGGGGGCGGATCCGGATAGGAGGAATGTGTGGAATTGGACGGCGATTAGCTATAGCGCTACGGTTGCTGCGGAGGTCTATTTGAAGGGGTTAGTGGCGGAGGCGCAGAGGAAGAAGGCGGCGAGGGAGGGGGAGAAGCTAGGGTTGAGGGTTGTCGAGCAGGATGATGGGAAGGGATGAGAGAGGGAGAGAGGCTCGGGGATTGGGGTTGATGGAGAGAACGAGTCAGGTATCTGGATTATCTGTTCTTCAGGTGCTGGGAACCAATATGTTTAGAAGTTGTAGTCGTCGCCCTTGTAAGCAGTATCGAATATACCCTTGAGATTTTTCTGTTTTCCATGTTGATGGTCAGCCGCTCTATAGCTGCAACCACCCAAGACAGCCGTCTCGCAGTGCCTACCAGACTCCTCTCTTGGATTTTGGAATACTCACCACGATCTAGAGCAAATCGACGGCAAGTGGGCTAGAGATGATGCCTGAGGGCCACTCGAGGGCTACCCCTAAGCATGCTGGCGCTACGGTCAGACTCTTGAGTCATTTGACCTCGCCCCGAACTCCTTGACTTCGCCAAAATCTAGTCACCTAGGCCCTTCTAAATGAGTACCAACCACGTCAATACCATACACTATCAATCGCTAACACAAGAAGGAATGAGTCAAGAATTATCATTCACGAGGTTCATTAAGCGTGCCTACCTACCCGACCACAAGGTTCAGTCCGAAGAGAAATCACCAACGTCTTGCTTCATCTGCTGACTCCTTAGAAGTCAACTGCTCGAGAGTGACGAAATCGATTGTGTTTTTAAAAACAATTCTCGTGCTTCTGGGAATTCCCATTGAGTTTCTGCTTGCAGGTTATTCAAACCCACTCCCACGACGAAACGTCCTCTGACAGGACCAAATACTCGACTTTCTTTTGAGCCAACCTCCTACACCTTTTTGACACAAACATCGACTGTTTTTTGTAGATGGCGGAGCTTTCCATCTCCCTACCTCACGAGCGCATTCGCGAATGCAAACTTCATGTTTCTATCGGTATCACGCCGTCCTGGCTGATGGCAAACTTAGCAGCACCCACCACCAATCTACGGTGGAGCCCTATTGGCAATGTGTGCCCAAACCCAGGTTTTCTCTAGAGGCTGTCTCGGCTTCGCTTACCGTCAGAGCCCCTGCCCTACGCTACCGAAACCTCAGTTCCGTCTCAGGGAGACTCTGTGAAGCCCTGAGGGGACTCTCAAACCTCCTCGTTGACTCCCAAGACCGCAGAGCAAACAACGTTCGAGCTCATCCTCGAGATTCTTCCCGAAAGAGGACAGACACCCTCTGGGATAAGAGTTTCAACTGAAGGAGCTTGAATCCGAGAAGCAGGCTAGTGACGCATCCGAGGGGGTGGACAATAAGACGATCTATAGATCTATTGATCTATTCGTGGAACCCTTTCGTCGACAAAACCCGCGGGTCTGACTATAGATATGACCCGACTCATAGACGACAATGCACACTCTTCATGAATAATACGCACCGCCAATAGGATCTTCTTTCCCGTGAATCATCCTCTTCGAATAGCCCAGAGTGAACGAGACTCGATATATATAAAGGCCGTCTCCCTCCCACTCGCCGATTTCCTCTCCTTTCCTCCTGCACATCCCAAGACAGACCCAAGACGCCCGAATCTCTCGATCGAACCTTTTGGATACACGATTAACTCGACAAGAATCTGAAAGGAGTATACCTTCGAACGAAACACATTTACCGATCCATAGACACAACTTATCCGCCGTACGGCAACCTCTGAGGTTCTCACTGCGATAATAAACCGATATCTTTTCGCGCCGGCTTCCCTACCAGTGATACTGTGAATGTCCGAAAACGCTTCTTCGAAAATGCTCCACGGGGCAAACCCCAAGTACTGGATGGACCCGGGCCCGCTGCCGCCGTTCGGCGGCCGTGTCCCGGGCCAAAAGTATGAAACGAGGAACGGCGGCAACAGCAGCAACGGCAAAGGCGAGGAGAGCTCCAAGGGGAAAGGTCAGGGCCCACCAAAGGATCCATGGCTGGAGTTCTGGAAGGCACGGTGGACAGAGCAGTGTAAGCAGCAAGAGAAGGAGCGAGAGGAGATGGCCAAGCAAAAGGCCAAGAGGCAGAATGGCACTGAGAGAGGCACCGCAAAGGGGAAGGAGCAGGAGAAGGATCCCTGGATGGAATATTGGAAGTGGAAATGGACAAAGCATTTGGAGGAGGAGAACAAGGCTCAGGGGAAGGAGCAACCGGAAGGGAAGGGCAAAGGGAAAGAGTCAGTTGCGGCCTCACATCAAAACAAAAACAACAATGGGAAGTCAAAATCTCAACATTCGAATACCCCGAACGCGAACTCTTCCCCTGCTCATCCTCCTCCTCCACCATACTTCTCCTCACCACCTTTGAACAGCGACGATCACTGCCTCACGATGTCCTACCCTTACTATCCCTATGGCCAGCAGGGCTACTTCCCCCCGCAGGGCTATTTCTCCCAGCCCAACTTTGTTCCCAACTACGTTCTCCAGAACCCCTACGCCTCCTACGGCTACCAGGACCCCTACATGAATGGCATGGAGTACAGCAACTACGAGGTCCCCGGCTACGCCAACTTCGACGGCTACAACCGCTTCGCCCCCGGCGACCATGTCAAGATGCATGTCATCAAGTCGGCTACTCCTCCTTGGGAGCTCGAACCCTACGCCGAGGTCCCCTTCACAGCCGCCAACGTCCCTACCGCCACGACTCTCGCTGAGCTCCTCCACGGCTTTGGAGCTACGAACCGGGATCCCCACAAGAACAAGTGCTTTGAGGTTCACATGGGTACCCGTGGCCGCTGGTACAAGGGCATGGTCATCACCGGCGATGACCAGTTGATGATGAAGAAGCGTCTCAAGGATGTCGGTTGGGATAGCTCGCGCGATGGTCTTCCTGGTGGAAAGCCTATCGTCTGCCTGTACTTTACGAAGGGTTAAGCGGAGGATCGATCTCTTTTTTCTTCTCCCTACCTTCTCATGAGTTGAGTGTACGTTTGTGTCTCCCCGCCTTTCTACCCATGTGCCTACAAATTTCTAATGTTTCCTTTCATTTTAACCTAGTCGATTGTTTGTTTTCATGGCATAGCCACCGGGCATGCATACACACGTGAGGGAGATGATTACGATTTGTGGATTTTCGACTCCTTCGATACCAGTCGTTGTTTTACGTACTTTGGGAGTTTAATCGGCTTTTGATTAGGAGAACGCCAGATAGAAACTCAATACCAAAGTCAGATTTCTTTTTCAAGTGCTCTAGACATGCCTGCGAAATGATAGTGACTGGACCATGTAGTAACGTGAGATGGGAGCTACGTAGTCCAGACCCCAAATGTCAGCTACAGTCGACAGGATATCATAAACGCCAGCCATTTCATCGTCCATACACGTGCGAATTACTGAAAATGATAAAATGCAAGGAGAGGAAACTGAATTTGATTTAATCTGCTACCCAAGACTAAACCCTCGTCGTCCTAACCTCGCCCATGTTTCGTGAGGAGACTCGCCGTCCAGAGTGTATCTGGTGTGAAGTGCTCGTCCTCCTCCCTGTCCAAAGGGTTGACAGGGAAACACTAGAAAATACCCGCTTGTTAGCTTCGAGTCTAGGAGACAAACTAAGGAGTGGGCAAGTCGCTTACGGGATGCAGGGAAAGCGCTTTTCAGAGCTAATATGACCTTCAATGGCTTACAGTATTTGTGTATTGTTGGCCCTTATGGAGATGCGACACGACGCGTTTGTCGCTCTGTCTCTGATTTTGCCCGACTTTCTCTAGAGTTCGCCTCGTTAGCTTCGGCCTTCGGTGATGGAACATGACGGTATGTCTCAAGGGAGGAATACCTACCCAGGGATACTTCCTTTGCCACGAAGCATTCCCCAAATATTAGGGCGCTCATACTAACGAGCGACGACCTTAGCATATGTGAACCCTCTTTCTTGCCCTTGCCCTTCGGGGAAGCCTTACTGTAGCATCAGATATCATCCAAGACCTGCTCGGATTTAACCTTTTTTTTGGATTTTCTTTTTTTTTTTTTTTTGACCGACTTGCATTGGTAGGTCACTGTCTTTGTCGTGATTGTGCCCGCCGACGTGGGTCCATCTCGCTATTCGTATCTCTCTTCGGAAGCGACGTTGTTCTCGCTTCGTTTTTCTGCCCCATCTCACGACCAGACATCCCAAACCATCTCTCCTATCCTTCCTGGGATATGGAAAACTCGATGGTATAGTTCTCCGAAAACCGAGTAGCTCTAGAAATTTAGACAGAGGTTAGTAGCGGAATGGAGACCCTCTGGTTTGTAGCAGGTTGGAGAGAACGTACCTCGAGGATGAGTGAGGACAGGCGTGTGCTCTTCGTCACTTGGCCTTGGCCGTTTTTTCGAACCCAGGGAATGGATACAGGGAACTCTCCGATAAAAAGGAGGCAGGGAATACAGGGACGACAGGGAAACCTCTAATATAGAGGACAGGGAACTCTCCAGTGTAGAGGAGACAGGGAATACAGGAGAAACAGGGACGACAGGGACGACAGGGACGACAGGGAAACCTCCGACATGGAGGGTAGGGAAACCTCCAGATGGAGGACAGGGAAGACAGGGAGAGCAGGGAAAGTAAAAGAGAGAAAGTAAAAGCAGAAGAGAGGTAAGAAGTGAGGAAGTAGAGCTAACGAAGTAGAGCAAGAAGAGCAAGCCACTAGAAAATAAAATCTGGACTAATTGGGCAGGAGCAAGAGAGCAAGATGGGAAGGAAGGGGTGATTCCTATATGGAGATTATTCCTATCGTCATGATTGGAAAGTGTGAACATCAGATCCTGGACTGAGTATGAGATTTGATATTCACATCCACATTTGGCCAGTAGTAAAGGCAAAGCCTCTTTTTTATTAGTTAGATATAAGAAGTTATCCATACTACCATCTCTACATTGTTGCAGGTAGAGAGGGAATGCCTAGACTTCACTTGAGACACCCATTACCCCCCAGAGAAAATGGGGAAAAAGGCCAACCATCAATCTTTATGGTGGCTGCCTCTTGAATTTCTTGGATTCTTCGTCTCCTTTGTCTAATTCGACATCGAGGCGAAAAGGATATGGCAATTGAAGTTCCTCGCCAACCTTGAATGCAGACCTAGGATGCGGA